CGTAGAGATTTTCTTCCCCGAGCATGAATACGAATGCGCCGACGCCGTCTTTACCACCCACGGAGCGCCACTCTCTGAAGAGCTCGGCGGATGGTCGCCGAGGAGGTCCAGATGCATCTGCCGCGGGACCATGTTGTATCAGACCAGCGCGACGTCTTCTGACGACAGACTATCGACCAACAAGGCATGAGTGCCGTGCGTATTGATTGGATGGAGGGCCTTCTGCGATGACCAGTGAAACTGGTCTCTGTCGGTCCTTCTGATGCCTTGTTGTTGCGGGGGGACCGGGGTGCTGCATCTGCTGGCAAGATTCGTGCGTTCGTGCGTCTTGGTCATGCGAAGTTGCCTATCTTCATACTCACTGACGTGGAGGTGAAGACTGTAGGTCGACTCGTCTTCCGAATCTGACTCAGAGCGATCGCCTCCCGTCCTGTAGAGCGTCACGATCGAGAAGACCTTGGGCTTTGTGGGGTGGAACATGAAGGATGTCTCGCCATACTGCTCTGAAGAGGCGCGCTGGGGAGGCGCTACCTCGAGCGCTTGCAGGCCTTCGTCCCATCGCCAAAGGTACATCTCCGATACGGGGTATAAGACGAGGCCGATGCTCATACAGTCTGCATAGCATCGTTCGAGTCGCGAGGGCAGTGACACGGTCCGGAACTCCTGGAGTGCTATGTTATACACCACGCTATTCCGTCAGTACGAGATTCTGCGATTCGAGGATCTCGCCTCATGGGGGGGGGGGGCATTACAGTAAATTTCTCCGTTCGTTTGTCAAAACGATGAGATGGGAGGTCAATGCAATGTTGCAAATTGCAATGCCTCGCAGACGCCCTTCCGTCCAGGACACAAGCCGCCGGTACCCCGTGTCAAAGTTGTCGAGGTAGAAGCAGCAGTCGTCCAGCTGCCACAGGTATCGCCCGTGGCAATACTGATTAGGCCATTCCCTTGGACGCCCAGAGAAGCCAAATTCGTCCACATCTTGTGCTGGGGGATGCATGACCGGAAACTTCCGTTCCGGGTGGACGGCTGGATCTGGCGACAGCGCCGGCGGGCCTTCCGTCACTTCAAACCGCAATAGCTCCGCCGTGTTCTCCGCCAAACACGCAGTGAAGCGGCAGGCTTGACGGCGACGACTCCTGCGAGAGGCCTCGTCGAAGACTCGCAACGCGGGGCGCCGCGGCACGGCAGCCGAGGCCGTCTCCAGCAGACCAGGGTAGAAATGGCGCAGAAGGTCTCTGGCGGCTTCGTCCTGTGTCCAGGCGCAGCTCCAAGCCTTGGAGACGGCGCGGCACGATGCGATGTCGCTGAAGTGGAGATGCGAGCCGATCATGGCGATGACTTCGGCGGGGAGGTCGGGGAGGCGGGCCAGTCCGATGGACAGCGCGTTCATCTGTGTGCGGAGATGCCAACGTTCCCACGGTGTCAGGGCATCGACGAGAGACGCGACAGCTTTCCTGCGGGGCTGCGGCATCTGGTTGATCGTCTGCGCTTAAGCTGAAGATCGTCAGAATGGGAGCTGCGTCGACCTGAACCAGCTGCAAGCTCCGGTTTGCGGTGGTGCATCCGAGGCAGCGTCCCATTACGACAGCTCCAGGATGAAGTCGCCTCGTAGGGTCAGAAATCAGAGATGTTGATTTATCACTCAATCTGATGCGTCACTTCTAAGATCCTCAATTCGCCTTCGGGCTTGTGATGAGTTTGACCTTCAATCGTGATGAGGTTTGAAAAAGGCCTTCTAAGTTGGTCTGCATCTCATTGCCGGCGCAGCCCGATCAGGCCTGCATAGTGACGTATCCACGCTAGGCAACCGCACACTGTTTATGTTTATACACCATCTTCTGTGCATGAAGTGTGATGCGTTATGGGGTAGGCACTCTACAGCACTCCAATGATGGATGCCTAGAACTGGTATGATTGATCTTGATCATGAACCGTCTGCCATTGGTAATTTGTGGTCCTCAGTGTATGCCATGCTGTGTAAGAGTAGAAAAAGAATTGAAGCAAGCCGAGAGGCGGCGAGTTGGCTTCGAGACTGAGACATCGGGCATGTGGGAACGTCGAAAATGTTCCCCCATGAACAAAACTAGACGGTTAATAGATGATAAATAGCGAAAACGTCATCTCGTCTGTGGTGTTCTTATTTGTTCATCATATGTTTCAAATCCTGCCGCACTGGTTATCAAGGTGGTCTCAGGGGTTGCCGACAGGGAGAATTGGAAGGTCATCGAATGTTCCTGGGCTCTCAGGCGATTACATGTAGTAGACTGATTCACACATCAAATAAAAAGGTAGAGGGAAATCAAATTGGAATGTCTATTGCTTAAAGTACATGGGTATCGCAACAAATCAAGTAAAAAAGAAAGACGACGACTGTTGCTCACGACCAACACTCTGCCTGAGCCCTCAAATGCCCTTCTGAACACCACTCGCCCTAGTGCTTCCCATTGACCTTGACCTCCCCCTTGACGGCCTCGGTGCCGGCGGCCATCTTGCCAAATTGCCACTCGGGTAGGGTGATGCCCGTCTGCTCGTTGATGGTCGTCATGAGGGGCGGCAGCATCTGGTAGAGGTTCTTCATCGTCTCCGTGCCGGACGCGTCGCCGCCGCCGCCGCTGCCGCCCTGGCTGCCCGTGTTCCAGACGCTGATCTTGGGCTGCAGGCCGTGGATGGCCTTGGCATTGGCGTCGGCCAGCTCCCGGTAGGTGCCCTTCTCGATCATCATGTACTGCAGCAAGCCGGCGGGGCCGCCAAAGGCGTCGGCCATCTTGCTGTAGGCCTCGGCCATGGCGAGCATACCGGCAGCCTCCTTCTGGGTGGCGATGAGGTCGGCCTCGGCGCGGGTGCGGGCGGCGTAGGCGTCGGCGTCGGCAGCCTTGGTGGTGCGGTTGAAGTCGGCGGCGATGGCGGCGTCGGCGTCCATCTTGGTCTTGTAGGCGAGCGCGTCCGTCTCGCGCTGGCTCTTTTCAAAGTTGGCCTTGGCGTCGGCCTCGATCTCGTAGGCGCGCGCGTCGGCGTCCTGCTGCTTCGACTCGCGGGCAATGGTGGCCTTGACGACGTCGCGGGCGCGCAGGCCGCTCGAACCTCGGCGGCGGCACGCTTGATTCTCGACGTCGCGCTTGGAGGTCCTCGTCGCGCACCTCGAGGGGCGCGCTTGGCTCGACGCGGCAATCCTCGACGTCGCGTGCAGCGAGCCTCGGCCGTGCTGAACTTGGCCTC